GTACGAACAAAAGTAAGAGAAATTTAGGATAAGAATATGAACATGTTCTTGCATGAGGCCCAATGTCCTTCACCTGAGCAGTGTTTACTGGTGCCCCGCCCTGGCGGCCCTGCAGCCAGGCCTGGGGGAGGGGCTTGTCTGCACACAGCTGGTGGCTCAGCTTAGATGAGTCAGTCCAAGGTTGTGGATTGGCTGTGGTCAGTTTTGGTCTTGCCCACAAAATTTTTAAATTAAAAAAAATCAAAACGCAAACATGTAATTATTGGAAATGCCTGAACCAAGTCAGTCAACTGGTTTGGGCTTTATGATGACAGTTGGTTCTTCAGAAAACTCCTGAACGGACCACCTCAGTTCTGCAATCTGCTGGCTTCCATACATCGATTTTTTTTATTTAATTGACAGAAACATTTCAGAGCAGCTAATGATTAATTTTTTTCTACGTCACTTTTGATGTCACGTTAATGTACTCTCATTTGAGCGCAGTAAGAGAACATCTCTATTTGTGACTTTTGAACTGTCAGAGGGAACATCYAAATAAGGTGTTCAGCTATTTAGCGGTATTGTCTTCTGAAAAAGCTGTAGGATAAATGATACATGGATATACTTAGGTGTCTAAAGAGTACTCCATACCTGCTGTTTGTGTATCTCACAAGTCAAAGTGTGGCCTCGATGTTACATGGACACTGTGTTCAGTGAGATGGAAACGTCACCAACTCTTCTCCCATCAGGCACAGCTCAGAGATACAACTGTAAATTAATGTGTGAATGAGTTTCCCATATGTTCATAATATTTCCAGTTTTGTGATCACAGCTTAAAACAGCTTAAAGTTGAACAATTTAATGAACATGTGGTCATTTCATTAATTGTGTTGTGCTTGTTGTGGTTTCAAAGCTAGCAGAAAAAAATGTCAGCTCTCTTCATCAACTTAGATTTTATATACAGCCATATATTATATGCAGTGGTGGGCACAGTTCCCCTAAAGCACTAATAACGGAACTAATTTCTTGATTAATGCTTTAGRGCTTRTGCTATTTTTTAAAGTCATTAGTGAATTAGCACTTGCTAAATTTATGGGTTAAATTTAGAAGCACTAACTGAGGTCTTTAAACGTTATTGATCAACATTATTGTTAACTGCTGAGGGTGAAAGCTGTCACACATTTTGTTCATATGTGTGTCACTTATCTACAAGGTCACGTGTCAAACTCAAGGCCCGCGGGCCAAATGTGGCCTGTGAATGACTCCCATTTGGCTCGGCAAGAGCACTAAGTGACAATATTCTGCACACAGATTGTTTCATGTGTCAGCTGGATTATATTAGTGTTTTAGAATTAGCTTTTGCTTAAATTTTCAGTGCGTTAGTGCTTATTTGAGTTAGTGCTTTAGGGTTAGTGCAACTAATATTTAGATTAGTGCTGCCCACCACTGATTATATGTTATACTTTTTATACGTTTCTTAAAATCTGCAACTTTTGTTTGGTTCAGAACCTTACGATGAGCTGGTTTTAGGAGAATCACTTTTGATTTGAAGTTTTCGGTGCAGCTTCAGTCATTTTTTTACCTTTGATATGATTAAGCTGGGTTTGGCTGGCTGAGGTCTGAAAACAGGTCCTGGAAGAAGCAGACAGACTGTGTTAGGCCTCGGGTAATGCTGCAGAGGCGATTTAAATAACACCGTCTCTCATTTCATTAACCCCCCCCTCCTCAGGAGCCTCTGGGCATACAGCTACAGGAACGACTGAATGAAATTCTGTTTTTCAAAATGAGCCGCATACTCAAAAGCGATGCTAATCTCAGATGTAGAAATTGGAAAAGTCAGCACCGCCAAATGCATCTGCTCCTTTTCCACCAGACAAGCATGCAATATTGATTCTGGGTCTGAACAGGTCATATTTTATGTATTTAATTTGAAAGATTTGGATGTTGTGCTCTGATGTGCGTCAGGATTGGGTGGGGTGGGGGTCTTGGTTGTAAATGAAAATTAATAATGACTGAAGCAGGTGGATGTTTTCATCTTCATCACCACAGAAACTTGTTTAATCAGCAAATGTTCATTTGTGAGGATTTGTGAGAACTGCTGCCAACTAATGACTCGGTGGTGTTTGCCAGTCGTGGTTTTATTAACTTTTTCTTGGCATTTGAATCATTAAAAATTTAAAGATTCAAGAAATGAAGAAAATTGCGTGAAGTCTGTTGCTTTCGTGTCACTTTAAACTGCATTTTATTTACTGAAGGACAAATCAAAGTCTGCAGGTTGTTAGAAAGATCTTTAATCACATTTATTCATTCTTTTATTTATTTACTTATTGGTTGTGACCAAACTTCATCTCAAAGCCACAGAAATTCATCCAAGAATAAATAAGAGAAAAGTGCTTTCAGACACTACGGGTAATAATCACTCCTCTGCCAAGTCCAGCCGACAGGAAATTGTCAAACATTGAAAATGACAAAGTTAGACATGTTTGTATTTGATAAGTTTGGTTAGCTGTGGCAGCCATATTAAAGTGAACTGACTCCAAAAGCTAATCATTTATTGATGTTCTTTTAAGCGTTGCCTTCTGAGAGTTTTGTGAAAATCTGCCCATTGATTCATGAGATATTTTGCTAACAGACAGTATAAGTATACAGGTGCAGGGTTCTGAGTTCAGTGCTTTTGTTCTCTGGGTGTTTTTGATCAATTTCAACAGCAAGGCTAAAAAAAAAGAAGACGTCTGATTGAGCGAAATAAAATTATGGCACCATTTCATCTCTAATCAGGCGCTAACAAAGCGAAGAGAGTTTTCATAAACAGAATGCTCTCTTCATATCTTCACGTGTTGAATGTTTATGTGCTTAGTGATGAATTTCAGGTGCTGAAGGATATGATTTCTGCTGGAAATAAAACTCTTCATTTGAATTCTGCACGCATTGAATCAATTCCTCAGTGAACAGAAACCAATAAAAGAGGCTCTCCGGCTGCTCCAGAACAACAGTAACAACAGCAAAACAAATATACGTCACATTAGTGTCGGGATTTTTTTCTTCTTCTTTTTTTAACATTCAACACTGTTTATTGAGCCTGAATTTTACATGTAGACTTTCAAATTAGACACTAAGTTTTAATATTTCTGAATCCCCACAGCTTTTCAGATACTTTAAAAAAAGGGACAGTCCAAATCTTTTGAAGTTGGATTCTGTGGAAGTGTTATGAAAACTTAATATCTTACCTGTTGTAGATAGCTTTTTGAATTGCTTCTATTTGGGAAAAAAAAAAGTTCAGACATCAGTTCAGTGAGTATTTTTTCAGCAGATAAGGAGACACAGCATGCTTTTAAATGCTTTTTTACGTTTAAATAATTCAGTTGGGGTCTACATAAAGTGGAACTGCAATGCTTTGGTCTGAATTCCTCCTTATTGTAACTCCACAAACCCCTCTTTTACCCCTGTTTTGAGATGTGTCAGAGAGCAACTCGTTTTGCTGCAGTCTCTTTAAATGCAAATGAGGCACTTAAAACACCTACCCAGTTCAGCCATTTTTGTAMTTTAATAGCAGAGATCCAGTTACCTGTATGTAGCGGTGCAGAAACTTTTTATTTACAAATTAATTAAAAGATGTCAACAATGGAAGATTTGATATTCCAGCCTTATGTGTTGGAGCCAGAGTCTGGCCCAGAGCCAGAAGAGAATGAACCTCCAGATCTGTGAATTTGCTAAATTGATTAGACAGAAGTCTATGAGCTTGTTTGGCAGTTCTGTAGCAAATACTCTGACAAATACTCTTTTTGTTCAAAAAAAACATAATAAGGAATATCAAAAACTTAACTGACTGAAAACTTTGACTCAAACAGAAAATAAAGATATCTACGCAGCACTGGGAGAATTTAAAATCAACTTCAAGTACACAACGAAATATATTTAAGGGCTAAAAAAGTGGATTTTTCACGATGTACCCCAAGCTGCACCAAAACTTCAATAATTAGCTGCTGCTGCTCTTTGTGCTTGAAATATAAAATAAAAATTCTATAAAACAAATATGTGTAAAGGTTTATAAAAACATTTATCCAGTCAAATTTATTCTGCATTCCTTCAAACTTGAGGTCGTTRGACGTGCCGTCTACAACAGGTAAGATGATAACTGTTCATTACATTTCAGCTAAACTCCCCTTCAGAGGATCTGAATCATCATTTCAGGCGAAAACTACAGAGCATTTGTATTTGAAGTTGGAGAGGAATCAAAGTTTTTATTTAGGCAGATAAACTCATAAATTTGCTCCCAGACAAACATTTTAGTCCAGATTTTTGCAGCAAARGACGAGAAAAATACAGATTAACTGAGAGGAATTGAAATGGAGATGAGAAGGTAGAAAAGAAGGAAAAGGTGACGAAGAGGCGAATGTGTGTGTGTGTGTTTAGATGTGTGTGTGAGAGATTGTTCAGGGGTCCAAATGCTTTAAATTAGACGGCACATTGCTGCAAAGACTGAAGGATTTTATTAAGAGTCTTAATGTCTTCTGCCTTAAGACGCACCGATCAGCATAATCCCTGTTTAAACAAGAGATAATGAATCTCCTGCTCAGACGGAGGGAAGCATGATGCCAGCAAAGGGAGGGAGAGATACACAAATTATTGAATTTAGATTAGGAGAGGCCTGTTTAAATGGCTCTGAAGCAAAGCTACAACACTAATAAAACTTGCTCCATGTGATGCAACACGTGGATGTTGTCTCCAGCCCAGGCGGAGACAGCAGCGGGTTGAAGTTTGCTAATCTGTGTGCGAGTTTCAATGGAGATTTTTTTCTTCTTCTCAAGTTTCCTCAAAGCCAGTTGGAGCAGGAATGTGTGTGTGTGGGAAATAACACATTTAATTAAACTCTTTTATGTTTGCTGTTTATCTGCACCGGCAGAACGGCATCTCGTTCAGTTTTCAGAGAACTTGGCCACACTTTTGATCACGCGTGGCTCGTTAAATGCAAATATGTCTTGCCGTTTTAAAACTGAAGTCCTTGTATGGCCTGACTTTTCCCCTTATAACTTATAAAGCGCTTCACATCTGAAGGTTTTTGTTATTACTAGGCAGCATCGTTGCAATGGAAAACAAGGTTAAGATGATACTCCTGTGGGGTGCAGCTAATTTAGTTGTTCGAATATAGGGTGGAGAGTTTAACGTCACACACAGAAACATCCCAGTTGTCTTGTTTGTTTACAATTTACAGAGTCAAAAAGCAACACGAGCTTTAAATTAAAATGGGACACATCKTGCCAAATCCACTTTAGCAGTTAAAWACATTTTATTATGTGCTTGTYGGCACTAGGAATGCAGTAAAGTTTAATTTCTCTTCTGGTGCTGCTTGGATATTTTCTGTTGTGGTCATTGAGCGGGTATAATAAGCATTGAACACGTCACCATTTTTCTCAGTAAATATATTAGAGGTGCTAATGACGTGAAATTTTCACCAGATGTCGGTAACAACTCAAATGATCCATACATACAAAGAAATCAAACCATAAATGTCCAGAAATTAAGTTATTTGTAATAATGTGGAATGACACAGGGAAAAAGTATACAAGTTACACCTCCCTTTCTTCATGTGTTCAATACTTTTTCCCTGTGCCATTCCACATTATTACAAATAACTTCATTTCTGGACATTTATGGTTTGATTTCTTTGTATGTATGGATCACTTGGGTGTTACCAACATCTGGTGAAAACTTCATGTCATTAGCACCTCTAGTAATTTATTTACTGAGAAAAATGGTGACGTGTTCAATACTTATTTTACCTGCTGTATCTCTAAAGCCGTTCAGTTTTTTTCTGTTTTCAAAGATGTTTTCTGAACTTTTACATCACAATGTTCGCAACAGAACTTCAAATAAGGTCTGGATTTACCAACTATCTTAATTCTCCTCTGGCTCTGGGTCAGACTCTGGCTCCAACACATAAGGCTGAAATGTCAACTTTTCCATTGTTGGAATCTTTTAATTATTTTGTAAATAAAATCGTTCAGCACCACTAAGTATCCGCAGCCACCTATCAAACTAGAATGAACCGGTCTGGAAGCTGGAGGGATTTAAAGCGCCTCATTTGGATCTAAAAAGACAACCCGGTACTAGTTGTACCTAATAAAGTGGCCGGTGAGTGCATGTTGTAATATAAATCTAATGTTATTTTTGTACTGCAATGAGTGGCTAATAAACATTTGAAAAATGTGAGATTTGTTTTTTGGTTTTATCTCAGCCATTCTGRGAACAAATCTGCTGCCTGGCAGTGCTTTAAAATGTGTAATTCACCAGCTACTCTGCAGTTTAAGCATTTCTCGTGGTGGTAGAGCTACATTCAATATAACTAATTTAATTGGACTTCTAATATCTAAACACCCAGCTGACTCCACACACCAGAGGAAACTCTAAAGAACACAGACAAATTTTCATGGGACTGATTTCAAGCTTAAATGACAACAGAACAAGTGATTGAATGAAAACACTCTGGATGACCAGCTCATCACTGTGGTGGAGAAAAACGTGTTGTTTTTTCTTGGCTTTTGCAGCCAACTCTTCCAACACAACATAAGAAACATTTACAGTTAATAATTGAAGGAGATGTTCCCGTCATTCCTCATCCATTAAACAAACTG